AAGAACCAGTCACCAGTAGCGTATTCATGTGTTCGACCAAATTATACATTATCGTGATTGCATTATTGCCAATTATGACATCCGATGTTTCCTCTATTTATGATTAGAATGTGCTTCTTTATACTTAAACAGCTTTTTATTAGCTCAAATAATTTACGGATTGATTGACGATGAGTCAGTGCGAATGTATATATCACGCATGCAGAAAAATTGTTTTCCAGGTTTCTGACTATGCGATCATTCACGGATATATATGTAATGTGGATTAGTACGAGGTCGACGCAATGATATTCAACAGGTGTTTCGCAGCGAACGAATCTTTTCTTACGGAAACTTATATTTATATTTATATTTTACAATATCTCGATAATTATAAAATAAGCAATATCTTAAGGTAGAAAGAAAAATTCTGAATATAAAATACAATAGATATTTATTCTTCTTTATAAATTTTTTTTGTATAATATTATTGTTGTATATATTTATTAATTAAATGATAATTTATAGATAAATTATGCAAATCTTAACAGTAGTTTAACGTATATCAAATTATTATTTTATTAGAATATCTATTCATAAGGATTTTTAAAAATTTGCATATATATGCGAATAATAAATTAACAAGTGCATTATTGTATTCTTTACCGCGACATGGTATATTGTATACATACAATTCCGTTTGTACATTTTTACGCTAATCAAGTCCAATTCTCACGCGGTTTCAATGTCGCTAAATTCTCGTGTGACTATGCAATCGAGGATCGGGTAGAATTTTCAACAAAAAAGAAAGGAAATGTTTCGCTGAAATAAAAATTTTGTTCTTGAATTTCTGCACGATGCGATACAAATACTCATATTATGGCATTTAAATTACTGAGAATCTTACATGGAATTATTGGGTTATCCGGAAAGTTCGTGCTGACTAAATTTAAATTTTAGTATACATTTATTAAATTAAAATTTTCTGCGTTTCAATTTTCCTTCAACATCGGCACGAACTTTCCGGACAACCCAATATTTAAAAAAATCTCATTAAAAAAAATCTTTGAATTTCTCGAAGAAATTCGCGTGTACAAATATTTCTTGTATTCGTACTTCGTCAGCAAATACCCAGAAATAACTAGCATGACATGAGCTGCTGATTTTTAATTACAAATTTTCTTATTGCTGTGCTCTCTTATCGTAATTTGATTGAAGATCGATATTCATAATTAGTTCTTATATTTAAGACTTAAATGTAATCTTAAATGTAATCTTAAAATATCAAACTAATCACAGAATTCTATTAATATCTTAAGACACACATTATCTAAAATGATCTTGAAATAAGACTCAGTCAAAGTCTTTTAAGCTACAGTTCAACTTAATTTTTTTAAACGCAATGAAACTCATGGAACATTTGTAGAAACTCTCAAGACATCTATCTCTATGACAGACAATATAGAAACGTTTTAACGATTCCAATTCTCCTCCTTGTACGTTTTTTAAACTGCTTTGATTTCTTAAGGTATGTAAATGTTTGTGAATTTCCTGGTTCATGCGACTCATACAGCACATACTTTCAAGGAATATCCTTGCATACGTCCAAAGGAGCCTACGTTTACTTAAGAATGTTCTTAGGATGTCCTTCGCATAAATGTGCTGTGTGAAGAATCATAATCGAAAGCGCTATGTAGTTGTAGATCAACAACCGGATGATGATAACATCCCCGATCACGTGCGTCGTGTGTATTATCGTGTCGTGCTATGTACATCCCATCTATAGCTTTTAGGCCTTATCTTGCCTCGAGTACTGAAATATGTTTTACCGATTTCGCATTCCCGATCTTATACAGACAAATTTCACTTTCAATCTGCCAAACAGAAATTCCAAAACGCAGATACATTTGATGATATCGCTGTGGTTCTGGTGAGACTTAATGAATAAAAGACCCACATTTTCTTCACGCAACTAAAACCGGTCCGTTCTATAGAATCATTCCGTTAGGAAAAGAATTATCAAAGGAAGAAGAGTACTAGCATACTTAGAATAGAGTCTAGTTTAACTCTTTTTTTTCAATGTTTACTTAAAAGCCTGCAATATTTATTTTTATTATAATTTAATGTTTTTTGTATACTTCTATT